TGGGAAATGACGAGAGGATTCTGAAATATCCTCAATAAGCACCTTCTTCCCCTTATCTCTAGAAGGGGGCGGGTTTTCAGAAATGGGCTCCTCAACAATCAGAACCTCACCAATAGAGACCAAAACACCTGAAGACAATCGTCTCAGGAGCCTAGGCTGTGATGCCACTTGTACCTCATTTGACAAAACATTTGACATCTCTCCATGGGTTACCCGGCCAGAGAAGAACATCTTCTCTACTACAATCCTCAAAAAAATACCTACCTCAATCGAATCATCCAGAGCAACACCTGAATTCCCGAAGATAAAGCCCTCTCACCTCCACGTGATACATATGCAAAAGAAACTATTAGAACGACACCCAAACCAGAACAATAGGAGTATCTTCCATCATCGAAAAGCCCGGGGACCACTTAAGGACTCTTATTGGGGATCCCTGTATCGTCCATAAACCTCTAAACCATAGTCGGAAATAGTCCTCCGCACACAACAAACAAATCACAATACGTCGACGATCAAGATAATAAAAACAGACAATTTCAAGCTAGCAATTCCCTTCACTATGTCCTTCAAGGACCTATATCCAGTAATAAAACACCCAAATAGGGTGTAGGGATTAACCATCACGTACCTGCTCATCTCCTCCAGAGTGAAATGGAGACGTAAAGAACCATCGGACCTCACCCACTCGCCAATAGGAGTCGGCCGAGGGGTAGTATCAAAAGTGAATGAGCCATCCATTCAGCTCCGAACAAGCCACCATAGCAGGGCCTGACGCAACTATTTTCGCGTACGAATGAGCACCAAATCCCGTGGCAAACAACTTCCCACCCACATCACAAGCAACTGGTAGGGGTGGACCCCTCGTCCAAAGTCGCGGGGCCTCAGCAGAAGCTTCTGAAAAAGAGGTGAGGGAGGGAGGAGGCCAGCCACGGTGATGAGCTCCTATCAATTGATTGATTACTAGCGGAAATTAGGAGACAATGAGAAAGGATATCACAAATTATTGATGGCATAGGATCAACTAGAAATGAAAAATTCCTTGTGGACATTTTTTCAAGCACCTTGAGTGCAATCCTTATGAGAAATTTATGTTGCACTAACGTTACGTCTCCAAGACTTCCAATTATGAAAATCATCTGAACCAAAAAGAATCGGAAACCGTCACGGAAGTGCTTTTCGAGGTATTTTTCTACGAAAGTCTAGGGTTTTGAATTCCCCAATTTTGATCATATTCTCAATTAATCTCAGTTCCACAAACTAACCACCAATTCACCTCCAAAACATGTATTATCTATCCTATTGAAACTAAATGCATCTTCTATGGTGAATTCTGAATATGGTAAACAAAAGTTGCAATCAGTTTTCACAAAGAACACATTTGATTTCACAATAAAGTTCTCCTAAATCATGATGGTCAGTTGCAGAGAAGATTACCATCAATTTATGGGATAATGGTAGGATCAAGAGCTCGTTGAATAGCCCCTGGATCGGCACCTGAATGAACATAAATACGAGCCCATTCCAACATAGAATTCAAAGGCGACGCCGCATGCTTCTTCCATTGAATATTGAAATATGGGGTGGGGAAGACCAGGATCTCCGCCATTTTTGCAGCCTGCCAAAATCTAGTTTTTTTATAGGGAGGGGACAACTTGGCATGTAAACTTGAAATGAAGTTCAAAGAAGCTTTTAGAACCTAAATCTATTTGGTTTCACAAAGTCTATATTTTTGGTAACTTGTACACATTGAATTCAAAATTAGTCAATGAGGTGTTAGGACTTTCGCTGAACACCCTCATGCACTTTCCATTCTACTATCTTATCCATTCTACTATCTTAAAAGCGGAGCGAGTGACATTGCTTGTTATATTCATGCTATAATGAAGAAATATTTTGGGAAGAATGCACCGAGCCCCACTTCTCTAACATGAGATATAGTTTTCTTTTCAAGATATGTTCAACAAACATATATCATACATCAAATGCATCTGCAATAAGCATGGATATAATTGAAAACGATGTTGGACTGTGTGCCCAAAAGCACATATAAAATACAAGGTTGTCCTATCCCGATTTGATAATACAATTTCTTAAAAAACTTGTAGTGATGCTCACTTCTCATGAAGTTATTGTTGGCATCAAACCTCACAATCCTCCTCCGTCCCTATTAAAGGTACATAATGATTTTAAGGAAGGACCCCTAATGAATTGAAGACACACCGATGAAAGAAATTACAAAGATAATGACGCAACACATAAATGACTAGTGATATATATGATGAGATTGTTTTGGAAAAATAATCTTTCAATAGTATCTAAAGAAGATTACCATTTCAATATTGAAATTATAACCATTTAAGATGTAGAAGATCTCCTTGGGAAGGACCGAGCTTTTTTGGCTCATGTCACCTAAAAAGATCTCTATTATAAAGACTTTACTATGAGGGATTTGAGTATACCGGTTGACAAGGAATAACACACCCATTGAACAACTTTTTGGATATTCTTCTGCGAGTTAAGGAAGATGATGATATTTTTTGAAGTTTCATTCTAGCCTTGATTATCTTTGATCTTATTTTTTTAGCTCAGATTGTTTTATTTCATGCCTTAGGCAATTTATCTTTTTTCTTTCATTGTCTACGATAACCTTGATGTTTTCTTTTGTAATGATAAATAATGATGAACTATTGGTGATAAAGTATAATGCCTAAGTGGGTGTGAGTAAAATATGTAAGCATGTGATATACTTGGTTTTGGGTTACGTCAACCAAGTAAGGAGTTTGTTTAAAAACTTAGTTTAGTTCTGTATTGATTTATCTCATAAACATTATATTTGGTTGAGACCCAAAAGATCAAAACTTGATCATAGTCAAAGATTCAACTTCAGAATCAAGATAGTTACACCAAAGGAGAAGTTAACAATAAAATAGTGGAGATGTTACAATATCCACTTGAGAATGCTTAGACGTAATCGACAAACATTTATTTTGAGTTGAATTAGTTAGTTGGTTCACACCAACCGACTTAGGTACTATACTCGACTTCTAACTCGGTCATAAATACTGCAGAACATTGGAATGTCATATTAATTCAGTATAAGAGACAGAGTTAGAGATAATTCATATTTATAGATCAAAGAATCATAGGTGAGACATAGTTCATGAAGAACTTTATATTAGAGATATTATTTACTCTTCATAAGAGAAAACTTTACATTGAACTCAATTTTATTGGAGACTCAATTCAAAAATTTCAAATTGGAGAAAAAAATATGTCGATCTAAGACAAAGATTCATGTACTGAGACATTGATGAGTGACCTTGTGAGGAACAAGTCCAAACATTCATAGAAACATAGGTTTTTGTATGGGGTTTGTGAGTCTTGGGTTTAGCAATAGTTAGTAGATTTAGATTAAATTGAGTACGAAAATTCAGTTGGTAAATAGGAGTATCTGATTAGCAACTTTCACCTGAATGTGTATCCCTCATAGTAGGACATTTACATCCAAACTGGGTCAACAAATTGTCCTATTCTTTACTTTATGTTTGTTGTATTTACTATCAAATAAAAGTAATAACAATATATACACTGCATAGGAATTATCGTTCGATGAAACCAATATGTTGTGCAAGAAAGAATTCAAATCATAAAACATATATATATATATATATATATGATGGAAGTACCTTGTAAATTTTTCTAAATTAATACCGTATGGATTTCTTTTGTAGTATCATTCAAGTATTCGGAAAAAGTTCAAATAGCACTAGATATATACTTTATAGAGCACACGGTCACAAGTCGAACCCCTACACCAGCAGGCCATCCTTATACTCCTACACAAGTCTTTTTTCTTTTAAATGAATAAATATGGTCCTTTGGATTACAGGCTAAGCACATAAAACCTCATACAAATTGTTCATGTATTTTCCGATAAAAAAAAATAAAAAATTGTTTGTGTATTTGAGAGTACGTATTTTGCTCTTCAATATTTTGTTTCTTTGTTGGAAGAGTTAAAAGGGTCGTGAATTTTGATCTTGCTATGAACCTTGTCAAACCCATTTTGTATTATCATCTTAATAGTTGACTTTTACCCTATTTTAGATGAATTTTATGTATGAATGTGTTCATTATTGTGAGGGTTATGCAATTACTTTTCCTATGTTTATAATTAATGTAACAATGAGTAAATAATATATCTAATATAATTATATATATATATATATATGCACCACACGATGGGAAAAATGCATTTCAATCGAAGTTAGACTTGGAAGTACAGTAAAATAATTTTTAAATTGGCCATGCCCAGAAAGATAGATACACCTGCCGGAAATATATGGCATTATCATAATCCACACAGACACTTATTAATAATTAACATGCTAGGTAGGTATTGTGGCAGAAATATCATTCAATGTTATTATTATTATTATTATTATTGTGAAAATATTTAGTGGTGAGTGCAAGTGCAAGTGGAAGTGGAAGTGCAAATGCAATCATAATCACAATTATAATAATGTCTTGTTTTCAAGGGGGTTGGTTGCATGCAGCTTTTAGAAAGACATGCATTGCTTCATCTTCACACACTGGATGGATCCCACTTGACTTTACTAGCTACCTAGGGAGTAGATTTTACGTATTTTAATAACTGAACAATGACAGAGACATACAGACATACCCTACGTATATACAACTGACATAACATCCTTATATTAATATTCTTCAATTTCCTGACTTTATTTAGCACCCTATTTCTTTTTTTATCAATCCCATTGCTTGTCTGCTTTTCGAATATTTTAGTGCCCCTACTTGTATTGCATGCCATGACAAGTATTCTACCATGTACTTTTTCAATTAAACTAACAGTAAGTGTAGTGAGGAACAGTGCAGTTCGTATGATGTGGTTATTTTAAGGCAATAAAGTGACTATGAGCTAAATAAATTAATGAGCAAGAAGAAGAGGAGTAGATGGTTGCAGTGGAAATTAATGATTAGGAAGAAGAAGGACCACCACTGCACTACACACTACACTGGCCTCAGCATCTCTCGCTCTCTCTCTCTCTCTCTCTCTCTCTCTATCTCTTCTCTCTCTCTTATTTCTTCCTTCCAGCTCTGCACGCTCACCCTGCCATAGCCGTTCTTGAAAAGCTACTAATCAATCAATCGATCTCCTGGATCAATAGGGGCGGGCAGAATATTACAGTGGTCATACTCATACTACTGCAGCAGCGTTCCTTCCTGTTGTGTTGTGCTGTGAATTTTTCTGGTTTTGATGAATTGAAATTGACGTTTGGCCTATTCCTTTGATGGGATAGGGAAAGGAAAAGGGAAAGGGATAGAGGCTAGGGCGTGTCTGTTAGATACCACCTAATTCCATACCCATTTCTCCTTGTGTCAATCTCGTTGATTGAAGTGACTTTTAGTGCCTTTGTGTCACTTGTTGATTCATGGCTGATAGGCAACACAGATTTCATCAGTTCTTCCTTCCATCATAGAAACCTCACACCTTTCTTAATCTTCTCTATTCTCAACTCTTCAATTTGTTTATTTTTAGTCACTGGTTTCGGTTGAACCAAGATTGAGATGAAGTTCATGAAACTGGGATCCCGGCCTGATACTTTCCACTCCACAGAGTCTGGGAGGTATGCTTTACTACTTGTCCTTATTTCACAGAATCTGGTACAAGAATTGTGAATGGATGTGAATGATTCTCTGTTCTTGATGTTTTAGGTCTGTGTCATCAGAGGTTTCATGTGATGTTATTGTTCAAGTAAAAGGTTGCAAATTCTTTCTTCACAAGGTAAATTCTGAATGTTTAATATCCTATTCTTACTTCCTTCCATTGATGAAATAATAACTAACAAGCAAACTTACACAGTTCCCCCTGCTATCAAAGTGCTTACGCCTTCAGAAGCTCTGTTCAGAAGCTTCAGCCTCAGCCTCTCAGGTCCAACTGGTTCAACTCCATGATTTCCCTGGCGGGGTAGAGGCCTTCGAAATGTGTGCTAAATTCTGCTACGCCATAACCATCACTATCAGCGCCTACAACATCGTCTCCATTCGATGTGCAGCTGAATACCTTCAAATGACTGAGGATATCGAAAAGGGCAACTTAATCTCCAAGCTCGAATCCTTCTTCACATCCTGCATTCTTCATGGATGGAGGGACTCAATTGTCACATTACAAAGTACCAAGCCTTTCCACTTGTGGTCCGAGGATCTCGGCATTACGCCACGCTGTATCGACGCCATTGCTTCTAGAGTGTTAGCCAATCCTTCGAAGATCACACTGTCCCACAGCTATTCAAGAAGAGGTAAAGATTACGCCTCATCGAATTATGCCTCGGAAAGCCATAGGAACAGCAAGGTTTCCTCAAGTAAAGGCTGGTGGGCTGAAGACTTGGCAGAGCTAAGGATTGATCTGTATTGGAGGACGATGATAGCAGTCAAATCTGGTGGCAAGTTTCCATCAAACCTTGTAGGTGATGCTTTGCTCATTTATGCATCCCGCTGGCTTCCCAACTTATCATCGGTCTACTCGAAAATGGAGATTGAGGAGAAGCTAGCTGAATCTGGCACTGAACTGAACACAATTGGGGAGTTGCCCTCTAAACATAGGGTGCTTTTAGAATCAATTGTCAGCTTATTACCTGCAGATAAAGGTGCTGTTTCTTGCAGTTTTCTGCTGAAATTGTTGAAGGTAGCCAACCTGGTGAAGGCTTCTTCATCGTCGAAGACCGAATTGGCAAGAAGGATTGGGTTGCAATTGGAGGAAGCCACTTTGGGTGACCTGTTAGTGCCCTGTTTGGCATCCGTGGATGGCATGAAATATGACGTCGATGTTGTCCTGACCATATTAGAGCAGTTCATGTTACAGGGACAGAGCCCCCCAACAAGTCCTCCAAGAACCCGCGAGCCTTTGCTGCAAGAAAGGCAAAGAAGATCGCATTCTGCAGAAAACATTGATTTGGAGTTTCAAGAGAGCCGGCGATCATCTTCTGCATCACATAGCTCCAAACTACGAGTGGCGAAGCTTGTGGATGCATTCTTACAAGAAATAGCCAAAGACAGAAAGCTTCCTCTTTCGAAATTCATTGCAGTTGCAGATGCCATTCCAGGGTTCGCTAGGCCATACCATGACGATCTTTACAAAGCTATCGACATTTACTTAAAGGTAGACAACCACTTGAAACCAATGATAAATACATGTAATGTCCTAATCATATATAGAAATCCTCATTTTTATGGATGAACAATGCAGGGACATCCAGAGCTCAACAAAACTGAAAAGAAGGAGCTATGCCGGCTACTAGACTGTAAAAGGCTATCCATGGAAGCGAGCATGCACGCGGCACAAAATGAGATGCTACCGTTAAGGGTGGTTGTTCAAGTTCTCTTCTTCGAGCAAGCAAGATCGACAATGGCTAGTGGTCAGCTTACTGAGCTTCCAAGGAACCTGAAGGCACTATTAGCAGGACATATGGCTCAATCACTGCCTAAAGCATCTTTCAGCACAAATGCTACCATGCCAATGGACGACCAGTGGAGTGTTTCAGGCCTCAAGTCGGGGAGCACTAATCTTTCTACCCTCAAAATGAAACTTGCAGAGGATGATAGCTTTGAGATCAACTTCCATGATGGAATTGAAAATTCTTCAAACCTCAAGTCCATGTCCTTGAGCATGATCCCTAACAGATCTAAAGGAATGTTGAGCAAGTTCTGGCCCATCTCCAGAAGTGGAGGTGACAAGAAGTGATAAATCAAGCACCCCACCCCAACTCAACCAATTCATGATTCTTGCACAGCTCTTTGTAATTATTAGGTTAAACAAATCCTTGTGACTTTATAACTCGTCTGCTGCTAATAATACAAATGAAGAACATACATAGTTTTGACACGAGATATCGCTTGTAGAATTGATTGACTGACTGGCTGTAAACTTATGTTCATTGCCTTGGCAACTATACTTTCTCTGAGGCATAATAGTTGTTACCATTGATAATGATTCAGCATACAATCTTGATCTTTGATGTTCAAATTAAAAAACCAAAAGGGAAAACACAAAGCAAGCAAGGCTAGCTGCCGTTTTGATTAATAGCATGTGTCTGAGGCAGGCAATCATTGCTTCAGATGCCAATGTCTCCGTGATTCATGCTGTTCTGCACCACGAATCAGATCAGAGGGGAAAGAGTCTAGCCATGGAACACAGACACAAATTCAAAAACTTCCAAAGAAGCTCACTTGATTCATGCTTCAGTAGTTGATAACAAGTATATACATAGATTGATGCACGCGTAAAAAGGCAGAAAAGTAGCCAGCCATGCTTGATCAAGAGTCGATAGCAGATAATAATCTGCATACCATACCCAATGGAGGGCCTCTTGGAATAGTACAGATTCAGTTGATCGAAAAGACCATTGAGATACACGAAAACATACATATATATATATAATCTGGTGATATTGATACGCTCCATGTCGATCCATCCTAAATATGCATATATTACTGAGCATTCACTGCTTTATTCTGTGCCGGCACGTCAGCAGCTGGAGGAGCACCTTTACCTTGTGAGTCCTGGCAGGTTGGAGAATCCAGGCTCTTGGACCTCTGGAGGGTTGGGCTACGGTGCAACCTGCAGCGGAACGAGCCGAGATGCGTGGTGGGAGAGCACAGACATGAATTATGCTTACTGATGCTTCCTTGCCTAGTAAGGCCTCCACCTCCACTTGTTACCCCCGACCCCGATGTAGGAGACAACACAGGTCCTGGAGGGATCTTCACCTTCATACCTTTGCTAATCACCTGTTCAGTTTCCATCGTCTGAAACTATGTAAAACTTTCTACTGCTACTCTCAGTCAAGACTCAGGAGAGCCTGCAGTCTGCCTTTGAAAATGGGCTTAAGTAGGGATAGGATAGGATAGAAAGAACACACACACACATATGTGTTAGTATGCATATGATGCTGATGCTGATGCTGATACAGATGAAGTAGCTAACTTGGATAATACAGTTTCCTACTTTTCCATTAGCATATACATATCCCACCACAAGAATTCCATGACTTTATCTAATGCTTCAACCACTTTAGTGCAAATATACAGGAATCCTATATATTTGCCTTTTATCCCTATCTTTTTCCTTGAATGAATCATGAGGATAACATGCATGCCAAAAGTGATAAGCACTTTGGAACGAGGGTGGGAGGCCCCGTCGGATGGACCCCCCACTCATTTCCATATCCATTTTCCTTTTATCCTTATCATCGAAATTTTAATCTTCTTGTGGGCGAGTCAATTTAAGTCATAATTGTATGCAATCATAGCCCCTCACCCACCTCAGTCTCATTGTCGAGTCTACAAATATGTGTAATTTCTATAAACTAATCATCTTTATATCACAAATGTGTTTTCAATTTTCTTTCCATGGATGCAAGCTATTAACACCATAAATATTTGATTTTCGTGAATTACAGCGTATTCAACAAAAAGGACGAATTTTTGACAGATCCGGTTGGTTAAGTGAAAATTTTATGAACCATAAAAATATTAAAACCTTTTCAACAGATATGGCAACTATTTGAGGAATTTTCTCAACGAAGAATTGTTTTGATGGGATAGAGTAATTAAGCACGAGATTTGTTAGAGTTTGTTAGCATTCTTTTGGCTGTAGGTATAGCAAATAGCCGGTGAACCAGGCAGCAACAAAATAGACCGGCGACATGATTATGAGGACAAAATTACACCCACTGCCATAAAAATTGTTTATTTGTAATTGTTTAAAAATCGCTGAAAATAGACATTTTTCATTATAAAAAACTATTTGCAACGTTTTTGTACTGAATTTTTGACTGGTGCATATATTCGAATGAAAAATACACCGACATTTTCCGTAATAAAAAGTTGGCGGTAAATGCACTTATAAAGCACGTGAGAAATCTTGTTGTAAGGTTTATGTAACCTAACAATGTATTTTAAATTTATTTGTAGCTGACTTTCTCCTAATAAAAAATTCGTTACAATAATTGTTCTTACATTTGTAACGATTTTTGTTATGGTATAAAATTTGTTACAATAAGCCGATTGTCAGAAAATCATTTATACCACATTTATATTTTTTGTAACGATATTTGTAACTGCCACAATTTTGCAAAAAAAAATCAGTATCCCTATTTTTTCAGTAATAACAAAAAAATACTATGAAATGACATTACAAAATATAAAAATATTACAACAAATATGTATCACCATCAGTTACACAGAGTATGCACCGTCTAAAAACATAATATTTCTCAAAACGACTAAACATATACAATCCAAAAGAAAAATATAGAAACAAACATACAAATTCTAATTAAAAGTATCCGAGCCACTAGGGTTCTTTAGTGAGAATTTTGTTAGGTTCATCATTCAAATAAGCCTTCACAATTTCTAACAAACAAAAAATATAACGATAAGAAATACTACAATTTTATTTAACGAAAAGTATTTTAGACTTGTATACCAAAATATTATCAGTCATCTCATCATCACCACCACGTCCCTGCGTGCAAGACAACATCCAAATTTCTAAATATTTGAAGGCATTATGTACATAGTAGTCAATATTCCTAAAAATACAATAATTGTAAAAAGACATTATGTTTTTCTCATTAATTTATGAAAAAATTTAATTTTAATCAAACACCTAATCATAAATCTATACCGGCCTTAATTTTAAAATATTACCCATAAGATCATATACAAGTTACACATATATATACCTAATAGCAAATCTTTATTACCTATAAAATTATCACACGTTCCGATCAATGCCCTCTATACAAAACATTTTTTCCCTCCGAAGCAATAGCACATTTATATAAAATAAAACTAATTGTGCTCGTAAAGGATGATCTGGTAGTGTGGAAAGTGAACTTGTGACCGTGAAGTCATGAGTTCAAACCCCAACACAATGATTTTCAATAAGGTACAATGGACATCGGATGCCATTGCAAAGTCCTACCTATATCACCGAGGTCAAACAACTCGGGCGCACGAGCTACAAGATATTTGACCCATCAATTAGCCAAAAAAACACACGACATAGTAATTAATAATCAACCCACATCTTTAAATAAACAATATTTTCAAGATTGGACTAAGGAGTAAGAAGAAATTAATTAAACAATGTACACCTCTACATAATAACATTAGAATATTAGTAATCCAACACAAACAAAAAACTATTGTAAACTACTCCAGACTATAGAGAAAAGTAATGATAAAACCAAGCAAATGCTTTTAAATGATCAATGGCGGTGTTTTACATATCTCTCCATATTATTTTACTTATTCACCAGTCAGTTACCGATCCCAAAAGAAAATTCATTTTTGCACTCTCCATTCTATTGAATGGAGCCTCATTTCTTTAAAATCTCGTTTAAATTATTCATTCATTATCTCAAGGTGCAAGCAAGTTGACCTCTTTTAAAATTATTGCCCAACCCCTCTTTGGAGAAGGTTTTAATGTGTTCTATATTCAAACTTTGCATCTGGTTATATTTTTGCCGCTTTCAGGACAACCATAATTGGTGCAGGAGCAAGACCGCCTGTAGTTGGCCTGCAATGTTTAAAGTATGCATATAAGGCATAGCATAAGTGGATGCAGAAATCTCACAATAAGAAACCAACAAGGGAAGGGGATCTCACAGCCTAACAAAAACTTTAAAAGCATCATATATTCCCTATTATGCTCCCATGAGAGTTCAAATCATGACGATAGGAAAAGTAAACTTCCGAGTAAATAGACCTTGCTTCTTTACAACCAAGCAAGATTAGAAAACAACTAGTAGATGAAAACCCTCCAATAAAGATGGAACATTAACAAAGAAATAAACTACTTAAGATAACAAGGTGGCTTAAAAGCAAACAAATCTATACACTCACATTGCCAACAGTAGCACCCTTAGCATTGTTCAAGAACGAGACAAGATTGTCTTCTGGATAAAGCACAATGGCACAGAAAACACCAACTACATATCTTCCTGTAAAACTCCCACAAGGTAGAGAGGTTTGGTGAACTCATTTTTGGGCATAGGAATTGCATGGTTGTAAATAATCTCCGCAATGGTCTCAAAGAAGGCAAACTCCATCGTTTTACCTAAAAGCACAACACCCGTTAAAATGCTAATATACTAATAATACGTATCTCAGAATATACATAAAAAAATTTAAAAATTTTAAATCCAAACTGTTAAAGAAAATGAAAGCATCTCACTCTGCAATAAGCATCACACATGAATCACTACATAAAAATGATGGAAAAATATCTTTAGTTTAAATACCATTACATTACTTATATCAGTTACTAATATTACAAGGAGTGACCAAAAATGAATTCCAACAAAAAGAGAAGATAACATTATTATCATGTAAAAAATAAAAATAAAAAACAGAGAAGCGCACATGCACATGTTTTGTGAACCAAGAAATAGAGAAGTGCATAATCAAAATAGTCATTTTATAGAAAGAGACTTAAAATATAATCAAACCACCTGAGTCCAACAACGATTTACTCAAATGTCATGAAAGTTGGCATCAATATTGATTCATTTCACTTCTCAAATGACATTAATGTAAATTCATTTTATTTTAATTTTTTAACGTCCTACAAGCATGTCAAACAAAAGTTTTGGTAACTTCCATGTTAACTTGTAATACAAAAAATGAAGTCATTAGTAGGAAACATATACTTCTAGTAAAATAATAATAATAATATAAAATACAACCTAAAAGCCCTTTCATTATGTAGAGTACATATGACACCCCGACCCTTCCACACAGGTCAACACGAGTCCCTTTCAAATTACTTTAGGGCAAGCACGCTTAACTCTAAAGTTCTTTCAATAAGGTTCCCGAAAATGAATGTGCACATTGTTAACATGAGTAGTCTATTTAATCCATTTAATCTATAATCAACCTCAGGGATATTTTATCCTTCCTGACTCATATCACTATTCAATTCCGGGGGTATTACAGTACATTTCATTATTAACCCACTATTTGACTATGAGACCAAATCACTTTGATCATAACTGAGGGCAATTAAAAAAACTGGTAATGAAAATGTGACACTCCAACCCCCCAAGCCATGAAAAGTCGGGACTAACTCCATAGTCTAACACAAGTTTTTCAAATGCACTTTGTCCTCACTCACTTGCACACTGCAAAACTTCTCAAAAAGTCACTAATCCTCAAATCACTTTAGAACATGCACACTTAACTCTAGAATTTACTTCAAGTGGACTCCCAAAAAAGAATGCGGACATTGTTGATATGAATTATCCATTCAGTTCACTTAATCTCTATTCAATCTCAAATACCTAGCACCGGCTCATCCATATACGAGAGTTGGCCTAGCATCGGTCCAACTTTGGGATATCACATAAAAACTATGGCTTTCATATAAAAAAGGAGCCCAAAGAGGAATTATACCCTTATACAACCTGCAAGTATTACATTGCAAACCATGGCGTTCACTCAATTCAATATAATTGACAATCAAATAAAATTGGTAAAACAAGGCAAAAGTCATGCACGTACCCAAAAGCACTTACGAATGTAATCAAAACTCTAGGAGGTAGAAATTTTTAATCAAAACAATCTACTTTGTAACGCTAATAAAATAAACCAAAAACTAACAACAACCCTTAACAGGAATTGTAAAGCATGCTAACTCAGATGTGTAAGTAAGTGTTGCAAACCACTTAGAAACAATTCACACTTAATTCACACCCTCCTAAACAATTGAAATTAAATAGTCATTCCTAGACAAACACAGAAACTTTGAAATTAATTATCTAACGAAACCACAAAAAATGGAAATACGAATCAAATGATATATTGTCCAACTCCTAATCCTTATTTTGGCATGCCACATTCAATTAAGAAATATAAGTAATAATTTTATATTATATAAACATTTTAAAATTTTTTGTGAAAAATTCATGATAACATATATTAAATAAATATGTATATATTATTAACAAATAAATTTATAATCAATAATATTTATATAGTTAAAATATGCAAATAAACAAAAATAAATATTTTTAAACGGTCTTCAAATGATCGAAAATTTGGTGCAGCCATGGGGGTTGATTGGAAGTAATAAAACAACGGCATAAAACACATACATTCCATATTCATGTATGGTATTGGAAAATTGCATTGTATTTGATTGTGTTGAGATTTTATGGGCGGTTTGTGAAAAATAAATACATAAATAAAATAAATAAATAAAAAGCACTATGAAAGGAAAGTATGATTGAATGTTTTAATTAGATTGATAATCTCATAATCGGCTCCCCAACAACCTTGTATAATTTAATTTTCCCGGGGGTCAACTAAAAAGTTTTTATCCTTCAAGGTTTTTTTTTTTTTTTTTTGGAAGGATTTGGGGAGGTAGATACAACTCAATGTTAAAATTTACACGAGAATTATTGATCAATATCGGTAAAAGGTTATAATAATCCTTTGAACATGGAATTAAAATTTCAACGGTTCAACATTATACATATATATATATAGATAGATAGATCTATGTATGAGTATTATAAATTAAACCTAAATTTATTTTACCAAATTGTCATGTAATTAATTTGACTAAATTAATTGATGTGTTTGCAAAACACATGAAATGAATTTTGGTGTCCTTAGAATGAATTTTGTATAAATCAATTTTTGAAGGGTTGGTTCACAATTCTTTTACGAGAATTGTTCATTCGTGATTATTTAATAATCACTTGGGCATATTTTCAAAATTGTCAAATATAATTTGACTTCAATTAAATGTGGAGTACGTCAAATGCTTTGACCATAATAATAATTCTTGGGATTATTACTTGTGCACAAAGTTGACAGTAATATTTTGATGGCTCATGAGGATGGCAAATCGTGGTTAGGCGTGAGGTTGTCGTTTATCATTTGTAAAATGTTAGCGCTGTTTGAATTATCATGAAGCCAAAGCTTTGTATGTCGAATTTTATAAAGTGGAATAACTCACATCCATTGGCCAAGAAACTGAAATACAATATGTTGTTGGGATGGTTAAAGTCCATTAAATTGTTTTAGCGTGAGACACCTAATTCCCTCCTAGTACATCTCTGGGAGCTCAATTCGATGCGGAAAGCTCACATTTAGAAGATTGGAACACACGTGATTTATTCGTCCCAAAGAATGTGTTCGGACTTGCAAGAAAGTTAGGTTGAAGTTTGACATCTTAATAATTCCTTTGAAATATTGTCGTACATGGGCGAGACTAAAGGAATTACCTATACGAACATAAAGTTTCTTCACTTCAAGAAATGCTACGGACTTGGCTTTCAATATATTTGTGAATGGATCGGGACACATGGCTTGTAAAGTGTCAAGTGTGAATTTTTGGAAAACACGAAACTTTTGTGTATATTATCTTCATGGATTCAGTATGAGTTGATAGGTTCAATACTTGGGATACCTAGATTCTCGAATGCTTGAAATGTGTAATGTATTAAGATGGAAATTCAATCTTGGTAATATTTTCATTTATGCATTAGCTTGTTGTGTATCGTGAAAAGTTTGAGAATAAATCACGGATAACGACAAAATGGGGAGGATTGTTGGTTATTTTGTTGTTATTGAATTTATTCGATGATAAGCAATGCCGTATCAAGCTATCTTCAGGAAAGGTCGCGTGGGGTGCGCGCTTGAGGATGCCTGTACAATATTGAATGAAGTGTGAAATAAAATGAAAATAGACTGTGAAATTATAATTATGATTTAGTCATAATCATTATATTTTGAAATGTGATAATCTGGAAATATTATGTATTTTCTAGAAAAATATAGTAATGTCTATTAATTTTATTTGAAAGTTATTATTTTCAAATGAAGAACTATACTATTTAATTCCTACATAAAACTTTATAAATTCAAATTTATTTAAATTTAAAATTAAAGTTGCATATTTTCATGAAAAGATTGTCTTTTGGATTTAAATTCAAGTTCAAATCTTTTCATAAAAGATACTTCTAAATCTATTTATATGTCTTATCTTCACAAAATTTTTAGAGACAAGGGAGAGTGGCAGAAAGTCACCAAATATGTGAATTATGCATAAATACAATGGGTCTATTTTTTCTAAAATTTTGAAAAATATATTCTTCGTATACAAATAATCTCTCAATCTTTCACTTGCTTGATTTTTTGAATTAAAATTCGAGTGTTGCTTTGTTTTTATCATTGTACGAATTTCGTATAACCCGAGGCACTAATAAGGTCATAAATATAGTATAAGGAAAGCGATTTCACGCGACTCAAAGTATATCCAAGATCATGTATACGCGAAATTCGATTTCTTCTTATTTTCATTCATTCCAAATTATTTCTCCAACAAGAAATGCTACGGAAATGGTTCCATATATTTTTTCGCAATTTTTTAGTAAAAAGTCAGCAAGAATTTTTTTTTTAGGGCAACTCCAGCCTAATTTTCTAATAGTACCACTTTCAAAATTTTCTTTTTTACTTTTTTTTTTTAATTTTGAATTTTTAAAAATTATATTTATATATATATGTATAGTACATGCCATTTGCTAATGTATTTGGACGAAATTTGTCTTATTTATAATAATTACGGAACAAGTAGGGTACAAATAAAAATAAAACGTTGAACAAAAAAAAATTCTACAGATTTCATAACTAAAATTTATATTTGTTACAAACATATTTTTACGATATCTCAACACAAAAAAAATATATATATATTTGTATCACACTACCAAACAAACATATTTGATATTGATATTGGGGATACTTTTGGAGTATGAGAGAAAGAATCATTTGATATTGTAAGGATTGTAATTATTTAATTCATTTAGTAGAATCATCACCTTCTATGATTTTTTTCCTTTTTAAGTTTCCATGTAAATGTAGGTATTTATTCATTTAATATTTTTATGTACAACGATTCTAAAAATATTATTAAAAAATAAAATATAAATAATATATATTTTATCTATTTACAAAAAAAAATCAATAATTCAACATAAAATATTATTTTTTATATTACAAACATAAATTCTCACATTTAACATGAAAAATCCATCCAAAAAAAAAAAAGGTAAACAAACCTCCTAATGTTTTTTTTTTTTTTTCTCTTCATATTTTGCATTAACTGTTTATACTTCGATTATAACAAAGCTAGCTGTAGATAAAATACAATCTGTTGCTAGCTAGTTTAATTTATTATGGCACCCACCACCACATGAACAACTTACAATATATGTATATAATGTATAGCAATAATACATATGTATTACTACTAGTAAATATATGCATGGAATAATCTCTGTTTGTCCTGGTGGTGAAATAACGATGAATGAGAGTGGAAAGTTAATTAACAATGGCAGTCTCCTTCTCCATTAACTTACTGTATATGATTACCATTGTATGTGTAACTAAGCTGCTGTAATTATTTGATCCTCCTCAATAATATGGAGCCAATAGATTATTACAAGTGTTGCTACTGCTAATCATCATGCTGCACGCTGCCTCTATCCCTGCTGATGCTGTTGTCTCACTCTCCTTCTCTATCTCTATCTGTGTCTGTATCTCAGTAGTCTCATCAGACAAACCCAAATTGTTATACACTTGATATGTTGGATTTTCGGCATTCCCATCATCGAAAACACTACTCATCGTAAATATGTTGCCTTCTTCCACCCCCAAATGCTCATCATGATTCTTATTATTATTATTATTATTTTTGGGGAAAAACCAGCCTTTCAAAGCCTCATCCAATAATCCTGAATGATCAGTAGAGTATAAATCCTTGCTTTTCTGCATCAGAACCTCATTATCATTATCGTTATCATTATTATTGGTATTTGTTCTGCAAGGAGAAGCAGCTGCTGGGATGTCCGCCATGAAAGCAGTGCTCCGAGAATAACTGCACATGCTGCAATCCATAGGCGCCATTGATACTTTTGAATACAAGGGCTGCTGCTGCTGCGTGAATAAACTATACGACATCGACGATGACGATGCTGTCTGATCTTCCACCGGACAACTCATCATCGCGTGGTCACGAAGCTGCTGCTGCATGTTAATTAGAGAATTGCTGCTGCTACCTCTAAACGAAGATGACCCAATAAAATCATAAGACCACTGAGGTCGAGACCCTAAAATGGACGATGGATACATCTGTTGATGATGATCAGATGTCGTCTTCTTCAAATAATTATTTTTACTATTATAATAATATCTATTATAATTATGATTATAATTATAATTATAATAGTTATTATACCATGGATTAATAAGAAGGCTATCATCCGCAGGAAGATGAGCAGGAGGAGGAGGAGGTGTCGGGTACACGAAATTGGTTCTGGCCTTGACACCCCGCATGGCCCGGGCAGCGCAGTCGTAGGCGCAGGCCGCCTCCTCCGCCGTGTCGAAGGTGCCCAGCCACCGCCTCTCTTTCGACTGGGGGTCTCTGATCTCCGCCGCGAATCGCCCCCACGGACGCCGCCGTACTCCACGGTATCTCATCCCTGGAGGCCCGCCGCCATCTCTAACGCCGGACCTCTTGTACCGCTTCGGCGCCGCGGCGGTCGTTACAGTCGCCAGACAATTGGCTGCGTTGAGACTACTGTTGAGCTTCGTTAAAGCATCTTCCATGGCTGACCTCGATCGCCAATATTTAAATTCTATAAACACTACTAACTAACTGTCAACGCCATTGTTAACAACGATTACTTTCCTACGAAGAACGGTATGCATGAACGACAGGTATTCAATTTATAAATATGGGAATATAAAGTGAAACCTTTCTATGATGCTGTACGTATAAATATAAAAAATAAAAACGGAGAATATATATATATATATATACACACATATATATGCATGCAATTAAATAAGCTATACGAAGAGAATTCAATTTAAACTTAATTTCCAGGGACCATACACGATTTAATTTTAAATTCTATGGTGGCCGATCTCTTCCTATCTCTCTCTCTCTATATATGACAAGTCTACTTTACTAATTTGTCCAAACGTATCCCCACTCTGTAAACATAAACGCATTTCAATTTAAAAAAATTATCATATCAACAAATAAAATAAAAATCAATTTTAAAAAATAACAATTATTTTTGAAGTTTTGAACCACCCTGCCCTTGTGAATCTGCCATCTTGCCTCTTCCCCACGTTTGGTTGTGTCCAATGTAATTTCATATAGTCTGTCCATTCTTAGTTATACATGTGACTAAGAAGTGTGTTCGTCCGTTGCATGCTTGCCTTGAATTTTACCAAAAATAGCACAAACATGAGTAGAAATTTATCCAAAGGGTCAATATATACATGTCAAAAGTGCATGCAAAATATAATATATCATAGTGGAATTAAATGTAGAAGCACACAAAGTTATTCTCGGAGGCTCGAAAGCAGCAGAAACAATGTTAATAACAGTCCACAAAGATGGAGAAGAAATGTTGGTCCTAATAAGATTTCTTGGACTTTCGTTTCACTACTAGAAGATGATCCAATGAATTGATTGGAGAAAAATAAAATTATTACAAAAAAAATTGGATGTTCTTGAAACTCTAATCTATCCAAACATTTGTATAGAGACATCCCTTATATAAAAAAAACCACCAAATTTTGAAAGAATCACGGTGAAATCAAAGAGGCGGAAACGATAGTTAGAGTGAAGATTTATGAAATAGAAGAGGGAGATGGTTCAAAGTTGAAGGAAGATGAATGCCGACCCGATGGAAGAAGTAGTGAGCATTATGTTGGACTTAGAAATCTAAGGTGGAGGAAGAGCTCAATTGAGAAGGGATGGTGTCAGCCTAGGAATTATTTTGGGAGCCTATTTGTTAATGAAAAACTGCAGCCGGCAGAATTTCTGAAGAGAAGTAGTACATGGCGAAGTTACGGCAGTCACTAAGAAGTGGGAAATTGCATTCAACCATTTTTAAGTTACCGGTTGTTACGTGAAAATAAGTAAAGCTTAAAGAATAATTATTCAAGAAAATGAAAGTTACTAAGTAGTGGATCAATTATGAATTGGGAGTTCGGTGGTTATGCAATCTATTATTGGAAGTCTTCAATGATGAGCAATCTAGGCGCAATGAAAATCCAATCCTTCTTAAGGCTATATATGCCTAAAATAAAAGAAAAAAGAGATTCTCGACCAACGATACAAATTATAAGCTTTTTTTTTTTTTTTTTTTTTTTTTTTTTTTTTTTTTACATTTTACTTTCCATGTACTTTACATTTTATGCAAGTTCGGTTATGTTTTCTTTCAGATTTATTTCGATTATTCATGTACTTTCAGTCTCTCTTTCCAAGTTTTCATGTAATTATACTTTTAAGTCTTTCCAATTTATTTATTGATTATTCCAAATAATAACATTTTTATCGATTGATAAATTGTGTATTAGTTGAATTTTTATTTGAAAATCATCACAATATTTGGTTTATGATATACGATTGATTGGTGTGTTTTGCTTGATATGACTCAATGCTCTTTTGTTGAGATAATTGATGTTTTGGTCCATTTAAGCGACATTTTGGCCCATAAATGACTAGGTAAGAAAGACCGGTAAAGGCGTTTAATAGAGACAAGTAATGTGCCTTTGAGCTTACACCAGAGCCAAAGCCCAAATGTTCTCTGCGGACCAGCAAAATTCTAAAGTTGTCCAGAATTCATCTAAGTGTTGATCTCTCAATGGTTAAGCTATTCACTTGCCGGCCAGTGAGGATAGCACCGCTTGAGCCATGGCAATGTCCTCCAGCCAATCCAGGCAAACGACAAAGATCCGAGCCCAGACATTCCGGACCAGCGAAGCCAGCAAGCTGAGAGTTATGGTAATTCCAATATACTTCAACCAATTAACTGCCCAACTGTTGCAACTGCTACCAACTGTCGCCTTACAACCGCTCAACTGCCATCCTAGAAATTCTATAAATAGGGTCAGATTCCATTGTAAATAAACACCACAACACTCAAGTGTTTTACTTCTGCAATTACTCTGTTTAATTTTCGAGGGCTCCAATTTTGTAAAGGAGTTATCTTAGTTAGAGGAGGTTAGGGGAGTGATGGAGATTCTCTGCTCCCCTAACAGCCCATTTAGTTCTGCCATTCCAGACAGCTTTATCGTTTTTGTTACTGTTTTTTTATGCTTTTATAATGTAGAATTTACTGTTTTCCTTAGTTGATAATGAAATATCATTATATTATTCAACTCTATCTTCGTCCCCAATTCAATGTTTGTATTTGGTTGTTTAACATTTGATTCTTGATCAACTGTGAAAGTTTTGTAGAAAAATTGATTAATCAAGCATGTCATTGCATCACAATTACATAAGGTAGGTATTTCCTAGTAGTTGAGTACGTAAGAACCTTGTCCACCTTCTTAATTACTAATTTAAATTCAATCTTGATTAAAGAGAGATAACAGAAGAGTAAAACTATTAATGAAACAAATTTTAGAATAATTAATTAGACATAATCACTTGTTTATCGGATTTTAAAAATATCTAGTGACAATAGCTTTTCTTGCTTATAATGTTCTTAATTTGGATATCATTGAAGTCTTGTTGTAAATCCCTTAAGGTCAAATATCTAACGATTTAAGAATCTGATTTAAATGAACAAAAATGATAGCATACTTTACTTCTATCATCTCGCTGTACAAATATATGTTCCATTGCTACACTTTCATCATCCGCTCATTTCCTCAAGTAACTTATATGTATTATGTAACGCACAGATCACTCGCATACACCTCTGGACACTCTTCTCCGCTGATATATTACCGTTTATCCTTCACTATCACTAGAAGACGTCTCTCGCTCATCATCGCCAATATAATTATACCACTAATTGATCACCCCTACAGCGCCGCTCATCTATGCACTCACTGCACTTACCGCTCGCTAGCTATCGTGCCGCTCAATTCTATTGCCCATTCACACTTACTCTTTCTTTAAATTTTGTTTGTTACTGCTCTCCGCTTGCTCACCGGGCGAGGCACTTAACTATTTTCCCAATTAACCAGACTCAACTGTGAGTATTTTTATTGATTTAATTCATGATTTAAAATTCTTAAGTTCAACTTGGAGACTCACCAATAAAAAATGGTATAAAAGTAATTGCGATAGTGTATTTTAGGTTCTATATCAACAATATTTTTATTTATTCTATATTTGACCACTTGCAATATGCCAAGATTTAACCTCATTTTAATTCATCATAAATCTTTAATCTCACTCATTATCATTTCTTCCACTGGATTTTCCGCTATTCCACAAACACAAAACATTCTTCCTATGGTTTTTTTGGAATGCCCTAGGAGTCTCCTTATCTATTATCCGACCGGTTTTCTTAAGTCATAGTGAAATTAGAATATCTGAACTTTTGGATTAAAAAATATTAATAATTAATTTCACATTCGAAATATCATAACAACACTTAATGCATTATATCATTGTCTGTTTTATCATATCAAATAATTATTCAAATTACAATTTTTAATATTCGAAATCTAAACCAATAAATAAAATCTGAAGATATACCTATAGATTTCTACTTGGTCTTTGATCAAATCCATGGATGCATATAATAAACAATATTTTGGAAGATTTTGGAAGCCCTATAACATTTTGGAGGGCAATCACAACCTTTGGATGGATTCAATATAGATCTTCCATTGTAGGATGGAGTGGTATATACAACGGTGAGCTTCTCATTTGTATATCATCCAAGTTAAAATAGAACTTCTTTCCCTCACTATTCTCATTTGTATATTTATGTGTATTAACTAATAAATTAATGACAAACTTGAACAATGGCTTGATGGTAAGGTTGTTGTCTTACCCACATTTGCTTATATATTAACTACAATGGAAAGATGAGCCGGAATTGACTATATCAACCGCTAGAGAAGTCTAAGTCTCAACTGCAAAAACCGTCTATCCGAAGCTTCCGACATAAAAATATGCATTCAAATAATGAATTGGGGCTTGAAATACATCCTATAAGAGATCCGACCCCATACCTTTAAAGAACTCGTCAATCGCGCTCATGATATGAAATTAAGCATGATACTAGTAGAATATATGGACCGCCTACTTAAGATTTCTCAAAAGAAGAAAAATACTACACTTCAAACAGTGGGGACAATCATACCTTCAACTCTCCTAGCAAAGAAGTAATGATTGTGAGAGCGGTAAATAAATCTTCAATCAAAGTTAGAAAACAAAGACAAGAGGAAAATATAAAAAAAGCAAGTAGTTCAAAAAGATCGGCCACTAAAGCCTACACTCAAAGAAAGCAGTCAAAGATATATCATTTCTTACATTCGTCAATGCCAAGGAAAAACCTGTGTGTGTTTGTTTGTGGGTTTGAGATTTTGAGTTTGGATTTTTGAATAGTAAAAAATTGAATTTAAATAGTTGTTTAATGTATGAGGTTTGATATTTTGAATGTAAAAAAAATCTGTAATATACCACTTTTGTTTTTAATTTAATAAAAAATTTAATCAAATGATGGAAGTGAGAATCAAATCCACAACCAAATGTAGGTAAGACAACATTGTTCAAGTTTGTCATTAACTATTAGTTAATACACATATAAATGTATAAATTTTTAAATATTACCGTTCATAAA